ATGTAGCTTTTTTACTTTGGACGGAAGAATTATATATAAAATATAATTGAAGTTGATAATTAGAATTTCATATATATTTTTATTTATGTTTCGAAAAGTTTTGGTTTCTCTATTCATCAATTGGACAAGTTTACTTGGCAATATATATACATTGTAGGCGGATTTTTAATTTCTCGACACCAAAGTGGACGCATGTTCAATATGTATAAGTGTCACCTACGTTCAGAAATCAGCGATCTGTGGTCAGACTAGTCATAGACTAGGTATGCGACCTAATAAATGATCCGCGTGTGACTGCAGTTGCATATAGCCATATAAAGTTGTTTTTTTTATTTCATTTACTAATTTCCAAACACTTCAAAAAAAAATTTTTGTTATATAATCTTTAGTAAAATCAAACTTCTTTCCTATATATTCGTTGAAATTGATTAATTTTTTTCAGTCTAAAGTTTAGTTTTCTTTTGTGTTTTATTTTTCTCATTATATATGATTTGAATAAACGTATATTTAATTTTATCAATTTGACCAATAAATTGTTTTATATTTAGAATGCGACAAAGGCCTTTTATTTTCAACGTTTATGTTATATAGTCGCACTTGCGAGAATCTGTTCGAAGAAGACATCAATCGAATAGCACACGTCGTTTCCTGACCGATAAGATTCTCAACTTTTTATAAACAAAAGCCACACACACCTATAATATTGTATACGAAAAAAAAAATGTTGCGTCTGACTTTTTCTAATCTCATTCGTAATAATAACACAGAGAGTAAAATATAAATGCTCATATACTGATTCTTGTCACATTTCTGTCAACATTCGAATTATTATGATAAGAAAAAATAATGCAATTTTTTTTTTTTAGCAGAGTCAAGTGAATTTAAAGTGTCATAGAAATAATAAATTCACATAATTTTTTGGAAAATATTAGTTAAACATTTCTAGAGTTTATGTAAAATTCTTTGACTTAATTTTTTCCGTACAAAATTTTTTAAAAAAATGATGGTATATTTTGGGTGTAATATATAGTTATATTAGAAAAATGTGATCTATTATATTATGATTGAAACGCCCACGTCTTGCACGTGCTGCTACTGTTGATGATAATGACGATATAGGAAAAAAAAGCAGAGGGGTGGGAATGTAGGTACATTAGCCATATTTTATTGACACAAAAGAAGCCATTACTGGCTCATCCCTCTTTTCTTTCTGTCAAAAACTGATGGGCCATAGTCTTATAATACAAAAGCTGCTATCACGTCTAATTCTTCCTTTTAATGATGTAATAGATCCTGAGAAAATTTGGTATTTAACTGCAACGAAAATTTCAAAATTCTCATTTTTCGTTTTTATTTTTTTTAGTGAAAAAATAAGTAATTAGCAACTGAATCAATTCAGCAAAATTAGTGGAATCTGATTGAAAGAGACAAATCTGTTTTACCGATTAATGATAATGCAGATTTGACTGTTTTACCGATTAATGGTAATACAGATTTGACTGTTTGAATCATTAATAATTTTAGTGATTTTCAGTGGTATGTTACTGAATTTCAATGGAAATCTTATTGAAGTGCTTTAATTGATAAATTCCAACTATTTCATCTGTGAAATCTCGCATTTATTCAAATTTCGAGAGTAGAAAATTTCTTCGCATTTTCTTTTGGAAAACTAAAACATTTCCGTATACAATATGTTTATATATCTAGGTTATATATGTAAATTAAAGTTTACGCAGATGATTTGCATGTTTGACCATTGTGGAAAATTCTTCGTTGATGTCTTAAGTAAACGAATCCTTTTCTGTGCGTCTTATGTTTACGTACGAGTTACGAGTATTATTCTTAGTTCCCTCATCTGTGGATATATGAGCAGTTGGTCGTATACGTTATATTTTTGTTTTTCGAAAATTGAAAGTCAGCATCTTTCAAGAGCAATGTCGTAAATGCACATCTCATATGTATGCAGTAAAATCTTGTCGTAAAGAAGTTTTTGTGATGAGAAACATTGCGCGCAAGGCGTCAACCAATGAGATCCGTTTTCATATGCGGTGGTTTAACTGCAACGAAATGATTAGCCTAAAATCGTTTTGCTTTTACGAACTATATATATATATAACAGGTTCCAGCCAGGATTGTTAATTGAAAAGATTTATATTTTGTTTTCTTTGATTATTAAGAATCATAACATAATAATATTTTTTCATCTAATGTGAGCATATATTTATCGTTAGATTAAAAAAAACTTTTATCGTAAAGTGAATAAGGAATAAAGGCGAATTCGATAAGGGCTTATTAGTAATTCAATATCACGCAATTGTTGACACTCTTTTGTAGCAATAAAGATAATATACCTCCGGTGAAGTTGCATTGACTGCAACTTTATGGTCATTATATGTTATGAAGAAGATTGAGATGGATAAATAAAATATTTAAGCGCGAACCACACACAGTTTTTTCTTTTGCGTCGTGTCTCCTATCAAAACGTATATATATAGAACACACACTACTTTTTTTTCTTGGTACAGTATCCGGTAGCGAGAACGTGCCAGAGTGAAGGAATCGCAAACGAAGAATATGGCAATCGTCGGCTCTTTATCAGAGATAAATAATAAGAAAAAAAAAAGATGCTGAATATGATTTGCCAAGTTATGACGGCGCCGTTTCTAGATTTTTTTCTCCTCTCTTTCTATATAAGTCACCTATTCATCGTCTATAGGCCACACTTGGAGAGATACATTTAGTCAAGTCAGATTAAGATTTACGCATCTATAGGCCCCCAAGGCGTTCGTTTATGTAAATAATATATATATTTATAATTTATTGGCTGCTTTATCTGCTCTCGCATAAACATGATAATTGTCCATATTTTTTTGTAGTCTCTTATTATTTATCCTCGAAGTAAAATTTCTACTGAAATCCTGTTATATTTCACTGAAAATTAGTGGAATGATTAAAACAGTCAAATCTGTTTTACAGATTAATGATAATGCAGATTTAACTGTTTTACCGATTAATGGTAATGCAGATTTGACTGTTTGAATCATTAATAATTCTACTGATTTTCAGTGATATGTTACTGAACTTTAGTGGAAATTTTACTGAAATGATATGAAGAAAATAGTTGTAATATATATAGAGAGAGAGATGAGAGAAAATTTCTTTTTGAAAAAAACTGTTGCACGCGCGTGTTGACATTAAATCTGGTGAGCGTTAAATCGCACGTTTGATAAGTGCGCCCTAGAGAGCTACGATAAAATAGCGGGTGTTTCTTTTTGTCGGGATAACGCCCACGAGACGCCTCTATCCCCAGGGATTTTTTGAACGCCGCGCACATATTCACTTATAACTTCAAAGCTTTTCTCATTTACTTCATTTATCGATCAAATTATGGTATTCCATTGAAAGTTCCTCTCGTATAAATTATGCCATCGTGTAATTTAAAAACTAGGGACGATTTATACAAATCTAATAATTATTTAATTTATTATTCACTATTATTATTTGATTATAAATATTTATTTATATTTCTATAATAATAAATATAATTATTTAATTAATTGTTATAATAATAATATAAATTTGTCATTGAGTTATATGAATTGAAACTAGAGATTGAATATAAGCTATGGGAAATATTTAGTGAGTTTTGAAAAATATGACATGTTAATTATATTTGTAAAGTTGAATATATTAATTTGATATGTATTTTGAGATGGTTTGGGGCAAATTGATCGAGAGAGCGGTGTGTATATTCGACTCTTTGTGGGATTTCATGTAATTAATATACGCGCACTGGCGAATACAGTAAATGTCCACACGCGCGCAGGTTACCGAAAATCTATATATATTGAATACGCGACTGCTATATATATATATATGTATATATGATTATATATACTGACTGATGCTCCTTCGAATCCGGCAAAAGGTCGCTTCTCTATTCTATGGGAATACACAGAAGCCATAAAGAAATTCGATACGTTGTTCCCCGTGGTGTCTATGGTCCACCAATAGTGGTCATATAGTGCTTCCCACTTCCTCCCTCACCTTTTAATTTCCCTTTTTTTAATTTTTTTTTTTTTTTTAATAAACGTTTCTTATTTTTGAATATTTTATTTAATTATATAAGGGTTATTAATTTTTATCGCCTAAACTAATGTTCATGAATTAATTAATTCCTCTGTTGTATTATTATTTCTCATTTTCAAGGTGTCAGTTTTCATAATATTATAAAAAATTTCAAAGAAGATCAAATTATATTCTTATATAGGAAGGAATTCTTGAATTTTTGGTTGCGTAATTTATTAGAAAAAAAGAAATAGAAGAGAATTTATTTTTCAATGAATGTTACGAATTATTTAGAATTTTTTCTGAAAAATTGTGCTTTTTCACAGCGGGAGAATATCGTTACAAGCTTTGAACTAAAAGTCAAGCGTTTACTCTCGGTCGAATCTAAAATCAGATCTGGAGCAACGACCTTCGAAAGAACACGAACCGACTCTTTCTGTCCCTCAATTCGAATGTTTCTTTATATGGTTAAACCATTCCCGGAAATTTTTTTTTTATTTTGACAAATTTTGTGGTTTTGATTTAGATTTTTTTGATTTTAATCTTCATTTTTGTATTAGTTGAATTTTTGGTTTGTGTGTTTATCTGATTTTTTTTAGTTTTTCAAGGACTGTGTAGTTTGTCGTTAAAAGGAATCCGTACGAAAAAGTTTCGATGAAATTTCTTGGTTTTGTAGTTTTTGAACTTTCGAACAGAAAAAGTAAATGGCAAAACGAATGATCCTCTTTTTATCATGTTGAAGAGTGTATAGAAAAATTAATTTAAAATCAAAGGATGAGTATAGGCAATTGTTTAGACCTTGAATATAAATTTGAACCGGATATTAAGGAGCGTTTGGTCTATGTTCGCATCCTCTATTCCATGGATGGATGATTTTGTAAACTGCAACGAAGGTATACATTATAATGTATAATAAAATGAATGCGACTTACCTATGCTCAGCAGCTCGATCTCGTTGTCTTCGATTCTTAAACCAATTGCTAACTTGAGTTGTAGTGAGACCCGTATTTTCAGCTAATTCCCGTTTTTCTCTTGGAGATGGATAAGGATTTGCAGCATACCAATCCCTAAGAATACTCCTCGATTTCTCCTTAAAGCAATACGATGTCTCCTCCCCATCCCAAATTGTTCTTGGTAACGGGAATTTACGCCTCACTCGATATTTCCCTTTATAGAAAATTAATTTTAAATTCTATTATTTCACTCTTTATATAATCTATCTAATTAGTGATAAAAAAAAATGATACATTTGTTCTAAAAGTGGAAATTGTAGAAAATATGAGAGATTTTGAGAAGATGATTTTGAATTTCTGCGAAAAGATTTGGTATGGCACACGTGTGCATGAGGTTTCAGTGATCACAGAAACGCACACGTTTCATATTGTTCAAAAGCATTTTATACTCAATCCGCGCTCGAGTCAAGTGACGACGAAGGTTTCAGTTGCCAAAAGGGATGACCGGAAGAGAGAGAAAACGACGTCTAATGTAAGGGATCTAATTGGTTTGCCGGTTCGTTAAAGTCTCCCGTGTCTGTCGCACTTGCTAGCATTCGTGAATTGTCGTTTGGAAATGAGGTCGTGAAATAAAATTGGCTGCCGCGCGAGTACTCGAGAAGAGCTAAGAGGAAGCGAGAAAAAAACAAACAAAAAAAAATATAAAAGAAACATATATGACCAAAAAACAAGATTGAATAACTTATAACTCTATTGATTTTTTAAAAGAGAACAAAATTTTTTAACTTTAAAATTGGGTAAAATATTTATTTTGCAAAAACGTATTTTGACTATAAATTAATAAATTATAATGTAATTTTTAAATTATTTATATATTGAAAAATTTATAAGAATATAATATATACTTTTAAATTCGTTGAGTATTTAAAAAAAAAATTTGAGAAACAGAAAACAATATAACAAAAATAGATAAATACTTACTGAAAATTCATTAAAATTAGTGATTTTGGAAAAAGGCCATTTGGCATTATATTTGAGATTAGAAACACAGGTTCAATGGTCCGTGCTAAAAATTAATCTGTCACAAAGCATTTTACTGCACTGAAAATTATATACTGCTAAAAAAATAAATATGATGAAGTAAAATTAAGTCTCTGATTCTTGAAGATGATATATTTACAGATTATCTTAACGAGAGAAACGCAAATGAATAATTTTTACCCTCTTTTGATGATTGAAAAATTTTGTTTCTTTTTATAATAGGATTTTTTATTTACGAACTGTTTATAAAAATAAATTCTACTACATATACCTAGATAAATTTACAATTCCAAATTGTAAATGATACTAAGTGAATAGTAGAATCCACAATTTAGAATTGAAAGTTTTACTAAATGGATAGAAAAATTTACCATACCATAAATTGTAAATGGTACTAAATGGATAGTGAAATTTACAATTCTAGTTTGTAAATACTACTAAATGGATAGTATATACTTTACAATCCGAGATACTAATTTCTGATTGTAAATATATTTTGATTTTATTTATGAAAATAAATTTTAAAAAAATACTAACCAACAGCACCTAGGGGTCTTCCTCTTACTTTTTCGGACTCGATGTAGTGTGCGGTGAGCCATAGTGCTTGTAGTTTAGGATGATTGTGCGTGCTAAAATTGTGGCTTTCCAATAATTTGTAGAGCTCCTTAAAATTTCCCCGATGAAAGGCTACGATTGCTTTTGCCTTGAGGACACTTTCGTGACGATGTAATCGGGCACATCCGGGCAGTGACCATAGAAACCTGCTAAGTCTCTCCACTGATCCCGACTGCTGGAGAACCTGGACAGATGACACCATCGCCTTGAAGACGATAGACAGGAGGGGCACACTGTTAGTCGACAGAACTCATCCCCCGATCTCCTTCTTACTCTAGCGTATCTTGCATATACTATTTTTTTATGGAATTTTCTTTTTTTTTTTTTTGATCTTGTTTGTTTTTTACGATATTTTTTTTAAATAACAGAGCTTTATTTTAAACCTCGAATACACCTAAAGAAACGTTTTTTTTGAAAATTTCATTTAAAAAGAAAAACAAAATTTTTTTATTTTCAGTTTTTGAAAATATAAAAGTTTTATTCGATTTTTATAATGCTTTTTTCTAATGATGTTTCTAATTTTAAATAAATTTTTTCTTTTTTGTTTTTATAACAAAAAAAATTGGTAATCAAAAATTATCGTTGCAAATAAAAAAAATTTAAAGTAACTTTTACTCAGCATCTCTGTTAATTTTTACTCCGAAAATAGTAAAATTTACTCCTGAAATAGTAAAAATGATTACGTAAACAGTAAATTTTACTATATTTCGAGAGTAAAAATTGACAGTAATTAAACAAAAATTTTTCGCGTTTCTTTAGGCGCGATCAGTCTGAAGGGGATCGTTTGTTAATTAAAAAAAAAACGAAAAGTACTCTTTTATTATAGTTTAGAAAAAGTTTCTTTTTTTGGCATTATTTCAATCAACATTATTAAAAATAAAATAAAAACTAACCGATGAAGGCTTATAAAGTCGTCGACCTATAACGAGATCTTAAGTGAGTCAATAATTGGTTTTGCTTCCGATTACTCGTTGACAAAACTCACCTCGAGGGGCAATTAAATCAAGATTGTTCGATAAAGGGTGATGGGTTAAAATTAAAAAAATATATATATAATTCTAAACGTCAATGAAGAACAGATATAACTAAATTTAAAATGAAAATATATAATATTATTCGATTTGATTAATATTAATCACTATTATCAATAACTCAAATGTATATTGAGTGAGAGATATATATGAAAATTCTAATGAAGAACTGTTTATGAAATCACCCTGTATATCAATTAATCGTTAGAAATAAAAAATAATATAAAAAGGTGCGAGTCGTTTTCCACGAAGACGATCCCCGACAGGCATTCGAAGAACATGCAAATTTGCTCGGACACTTTTAGTCCCAAACCGTGAGAAAAACGTGTCGTCGATCAATTTAAAATAATTTTTTTTTTTTATTCTCCAGAGGTCAAACATTATTATTCGTATATGACATACAATTAATTTTGTTGAACGATTTATTCTTTGTTAAAATTGATTCAAAATTTAAAAAATGTTTTGTCATTTTAATGAAAAATGAGAATTTTTAAATTAAACTTCAATATATTTATTAAAATTTATCTATAAATCTGAATTATTATATTAGTAAAATTTTATTATAGTGAAAAAATTTTAATTCATAAAAAAAGTCAGTCATTGATTCAAATTTGTTGGAATTTTTTTACTAATTCAGATTTAGAGAATAGTAAAGAATATTTTTTTTTATTTTTGATGTTAAAAAAAATAAAAGTTTTATTAAAAAAAAAAGGAAATATTTTTTTTTGGTAACGATACGTTTTCTTTCGGCGGGTTTCAAATATATAATTTAGGAATACAAGACAACTGAAGCTCCCACGTCAGACGGAAATATTTTCTCAAAAGAAAAAAAAAAAAAAAAGAAGACGTTAAAAATAATCAGTGACATTTCAATTCCCTTTCGAAACAACTCCATAAATATCCGTCTAACGTAGGTAAGGAGTTATAACGTCTAGCAGTGTACAATAATTTTATTAGAAAATCATCGCATTCGTTCAAGAAACATTAAATTATATATATATGTTTAGGGTGTAATAATTTTGCTCAACATTCAACACATATTTAGCAAAAAAAATTCTTTGATTTTTTATAAATATCATTTCAGTTCAGGATTATTTATTTGAAAAATTATAGTTTAAATTTTATATTTTTTTAATGACCAATTTTTTTACTTAAATTTATTTTAAAAGAATAAAGAATCATGTTAAATAATATAAAATTCTGGTAAATTTTTAAAGAAATGTTTTTTTTTTGGATCAAAGAAGATTTTCTGTTAAATTAAGGAATTTTTTTTGTTTCTGTCGTAAAAAGCAGTATTAATTTTAAAACGATAAAATAATATCCAAAAATTAAAAAAAAAAATTATCATCTTTCTATTTTCTATACTTCTTTATTTTTACAACAGGAAATAAATTTAACTTTAGAAACTATAAAAATTTATAAATTAATAAAATGACAGCCAGTATTTTTTGAAATGGAAATAAACATTTACATATATAGTTTCTTGATGAAAATTAAATAAAATTTATTTGACTTTTTTCCCTGTGAATATGTTCAATTTTCTTGAACATTGTATATTTAATTAATCTTGACAATTTACAGTTATATCTTAAAATTAAATTACAATTTAAAGATAAAACGAATGATAGAAATTGAATTTGAAGAAAATTGAAAGTAGCAAATTTGCTTTCATGTAAAGAAAATTTAAATCAGTCAGTAACCTTTTATATATTTTTTTAATGATAAAAATATTTACATCACTTGCAATTTATGTTATTCCGAATCGTGAGATTTATAAAAAAAACTATTCTTAAAATTTTAAACCAAAGGAAGAAATTATTGAAATTTCTTTTTCTATTTTAATATTTAGAGAATATTTGTTTTCAATTTCCTTTTTCCAATAAATTAATCTTCGATTTAATTTAATTTAAACCAATTTTTTTTTATTTATATTGAAAAATTGTCTATAGGCAATATGTGTGCATTGCTTGTTTTTATCACTAACAAGTGATGCGGGTTAAAATACTTGGTGAAGCTATAAATTATTTGTACAAGTCTTGGAGGTTTATTAAATTGGACATTAAATCTTTCAAATTTAGTTTTTAAAATGAAAAAAAAAAATAATATCGTTTCTTTTCCGAAAGATTTACTATAAGATAATATTTAAATATTCATTTTACTCTCTCCAAATAAATATTGAGTCACGCAACAAACTAGCGTTATACGAAAAAATACACCGCAACCGGAAATGTTATATGTGCGAGTAATTTATGCTAATTATTCTTGTACTGCGATAAGTTATCATGTAAAATAGATTTAAATTGACTGTTCGATTTGTTTAACAGCCTTAATTGCATTATATTCTTCTATATCAAAAGTTTATATCTTTTATCTTCCTTTTATAACATTCTATAGATTTTTAAATTAATATTATACTTATCTTTAAATTAAACAGTTTAATACATTCATATAATAAAAATAATAATAATATTTATTTAAAAGAAATTTTTGTTTATACATACGGGGAATAAAGGAATAACAATAATTACGATGAATAATTACGACTTATATAATTTTATAGTGAATTAAATAACTTGTATCTAGTTTGGAATTCAATGAATGGTACGTCATTTAAACAAAATGTATTTTTGGACTCATGCCAATCGTTTACTACTGAGTTTAAAACCCACACAAATTCCTATAGACTTTGATAAAAAAAAAAAAAATTGGTTTATAATTTGAACTTGTGTTTCGATTATAAAAGACAATAAAATTATTTAGAAAATCAATAAATGGGAAAAATATTTTTAAAAAGAATATACGGAAGCTATGCGGTATAAACTGCAAGAGATCGAAGGCCAGGTGGTTTCAATCCAAGTTCTATCATCAATGTTGTCAAGATTTACTTTAAACATGTAAAACAATCTTTTGCGCGTAAAAGAGAAATTACTAGGAAATTTTCTTGTGGCCCCCTTTTGTTCATAATGATAATAATAAAAATAATAATATAATATAAAATAATATATATACATAATATCCGTAATCTTGATTCATCTAAATTGTTTTCGTCAATAATAAACAAAAAAAAAAAAAATAAAAACTTATTTTCAAAAAATACTATGGCTAACATTTTAAAATAGAAAATATTTTTTATTTTTGAGTTAATAATAGTCTATTATAGGTATAGTATAATTTTTATAAATAGAATAGAGAATATACAATTAGAAGAGTGTCAGAAATTAGAGCAACAAGTTTGAAGACGAAGTGATGATCATTAATGTCATATTTACACAATACCAAAAATTTGGCACTTTAAATTCTTGTCGCATATAAATTTTGACCTGCTATTGTAAATATATAAAAATCAATTTTACTGTTCAGACTATTGCTAAATATATATTCACGCAGTTATTGTCTGCTTCAAGTACAAATATATATATATATATATACACACGTGCGGATAAATTTTGCTTCAACGAAATGGGTCTCGTTAAAAAAATTTGCAATTTTAAAAGAAGTTTATAGTTTTGATTATTTCATCTATAATGAGTTATAGTACAACCAGAAAAAAGATTTCTTTGATTCAAAAAAAATCAATATCTTTGACAAAGTTTTCTTTAATATAAAAAAATTTTTTTTGTTTCCAACAAATTATCTTTGATATCAAAAAAAATTATCATCGTTTCAAAAGAAATTTTTTATTTAATTCAAATAAATGTTTCTTTGACGCCTATATCAGTGTTAGAATTTCTTTGATTTAATATTTCTTTAAAGAAAATTTCTTTGATTCAAAGAAATCTTCTTTGAAACTAAGAAGTTTTTTTTGTTTCAAAGAAAATTTTATTTTGAATGAAAGAAAACAAGTCAAAAAAATTGGTTTCTTTAAATGAAAGAAATTTTTATAGGTGTATTGATCAACATCAGCATATATTAATTTGCATCAATATCAGATTGAAATAATCGAACCATTATATTTACCATATATATATTTAAACTTCCTTAGAAGCTATATACCCAGCACCTGAACTTGCAGCAATGTTTGCAAAATTCTTGCAATATTTACAGAAATCGTGGAAACATTGAGGCAATGTTATAGCAATATTGCGACAATTTTAAATGCTACTGTTTAAAATAATGTTCCCCGCAGATATTTAACACGGATACGGATACTTAATACGAATATTTTTATTATAAAAGCATTGATTTTGAATAGATAAAGATGCACGGAGGAAAATGGAAAAACGAATAATGTAAATTTTACTAGAAAAATAAAACCAAAACTATCCGCAGTTTCTGAGCATTTCTGCGTCTATTTTTACTCCAGAAAGATTATAGTAAAATTTACTATATCCGAAATAATTTTTACTATATTTCACAAGTAAATTTTACTATTTCTGGAGTAAAAATTGCCAGAAATTGCGGACAGATCAGATTTTACTTTTAAAGTATATAGTAATAGTTACTTTATTCGTTTTATCCATTTTTCTCTGTGGAGATGAGAAATGGTTGTTATTGAAAAAAGATGTGAAAAAACATACCTCGCAAACACATGCGACTTGCTCCTGTGTAAATCCAAAACTTGGCAATTGACCATTGCCGACGGCACCGCCACCGGCGGAACTCGCTGGACTGTCTTGTGGACTGTATACAGGGAGAGATAAACTCTCCGCTGGTCCAGATGAATGAGTTAAAGGCGCTGGAGTGCCCCTTGGACTGTAATCCGGCGTTGATCCAAGGACATCTGAACTGCTTGACGATGCCACTAATCCGGCACCGCTAACTCCTCCGTAGGCCATCATTGCCTCATCTCTTGATACACTAACACTTTCCCCCCCAATTCTATTATTCCTTCCACCCTCCACTGTGAATCACATTAAACTTTTGTCCACTCACCCTTGACAAATTATTATCTCTCTGGAAAATAAGAACCCGTTTTTGCACTCGCGACAATCAACACAAATCTTCATTGAATTTTATGCCTCATCATCTCTATTATGATTTTATCCTCGATACTTTCAGGTCCTTTTTCCCTCGAATATATTCTTCTATTTCCATCTTCTTTGAGAAATTATTTTGCCGCCGGTGAATTATATAGAAGCTGTGATATTTTTAGGAAGCTGTGAGACCCTACTATCAGTATCGAGTATATAGTGTTCTTATTACTCCGGTTACTATATATATATATTAGAGAGGATAATCCCGTCTCCTGGGGATTCGTTTCCTTAAGGACTTTCGCGCCTCATACAAGATCGATTGTCTTACTGCGCGTGGGCAGATCCGATTTCGATTAAGACACCTTCTTTCTCTTTTCAGAGATATATATATATGTATCTCTCTTTCTCTTGGGCGCGCAGCTTTCGATCGACTTACTTCCCGAGTTGAAAGAGAGCGAATAGTGATCCGCGCTGGGTCTCGTATTTCCACGGGCAGAATTACGCTGTATTTATAGATGCCTGGCTTCCAACGCGAACGCACCGGCTATTATTAGGATCGCGTGTGCAACTTGTGTGTAAATGTGTGTGCCGGCGCACAATTCGCAATTCTAACTAAACGCAAAATCACTTATTTTCCAATACAAAATTTTCTTATCACTATTCTCTGCCGGGAAATTCCAATGACACTCTGTTATCACTTGTCACCATTGTGTCAGAATAAATTAAAAAAATTTATCCATTAAAATTTTGTTTATTAGTTTTGAAAATTGTTGTCTTTTTTTAGGGATTATTTTTTGAGGGGGTTTTCCTTTTGTTTTTGTTTTTTTTTTTTGAAGGTAATCAATTTATTGACAAGAGCCCATCAGCAACACTCGTCCAAATAGGAACCGGAGAAGACTGCCGGTTCTGGCAGACGAGAAGAGAAGCTTTCCCTCCGATTTGCGCCTGCACGAGTTCATTCAAAAGGGCGGAGCATATAGCTGACAGCTTGTGAATTTGCTTTGGGATTGGTTGTAGGTGTGGTATCAGCAACCATGTCGTTCTCAGACTGGCTACTTTACTCACACTGCTGAGTGAATCTCGTTACACCTCCGTTGTACGCTCATTTTTTCCTTGCGGCGCACGAATCGAAAAAAAAATAGAGTTTCTTTTTTGGATTTCCTAATGTGAAATTCGACTTTAAGAACATTTTATCTTACTCCAATATCATTAAACTTCATTCTTCTTTGTTGAGTAAAAGTTTATGTCAAACTTTTTGAGAAATTGGTTAAGTTGGGTATGGCATTTTTGATGAATTAGGTATTTTGTGTCCAAAGAATGTTGGATAAATAATTTCTGTTTGCGTGAGGAATTGGATGTTTTTTTTTCTGATTTGTTTTATTTTGACAAAGATGTTGTGTTCTTGAGGAATTGGGTTAGTTTGTCTTAAATTTTAAGGGAATTGATTTTTTAAAGGAATTGGATGAATTTAGTACTTTAGAAAGTGGATTGCTGTCCTACAGCGGAAAAACATATACATAAGTATGACTCGTATTTATCCATGTAAGGTATATGTTTTTCTGTTGCAGCAGTCGACCTGAACTTGCAGAAATATTAGCAACATTGTCTCAAAATATTATCTAATATTGCAGCAACATTGCAGAAATAATGGTAATATAGAGGAAATTTTAGATGCTGATAGGGAGGTATAGTATTTCGGATTTTATTGTGAATGAACAAAACAAAATTATTGGATTTTGTTTACTAGTTGTATTCTGCTACAGAAACTGGATAATTTGTTTTCATTTGGAATTAGTTGATTTTGTTGAGGAACAAATGGATCCGAAACGATTTGCTTTGTTTTTTGGAATTATATATAGATATGAATTTTGTTAAGGAACCTGGATTATTTGTTTTTTTGGAGTTTGTCCAATTTTGTTTTTTGTTAAGGAACTTGTGCTTTTGGAATCAGATGATTCTGTTGAAAATCTGGATCATTTGCAAATCAGATGAAATCACATGAATCTTCTGCTGAGTACATTTTTTGCTCTTTGGAATTAGATGAATTTTTGACACCTGATTTAATTCATTATGTAGCGTAAAATGATTTGTTATCATTTTGAAGTATACTGCGAATCATCTCGAAAAATTGTAGTAGTGTATATAGTAGGAATAATTTAGTAATTACTATATCCACCGAAGAAAGATTTACGGAACAGCAAAACGTTTCACTTAGCAAAACTTTGAATTGTTTCAGTTAAATCTATTATTCAGTGAAACTTTTTCACTGTTCCAGATGGAACAGAAAAAATCGTTTGATTTATCAACTTTAAAATTATAGACAAATATTTGTGAATGAGCGACAAATGGTATTAGGGAAAAAGTGAACCCGCGTCGGAAATGCATCTCAAGTGGAACTTTTTCAAATAATAAAGTTAGTCAAGTACTCAGAATACTCTTGTTGTGACAAGAAGCCGAAAAAGAGTCGAGAGAGAAAGAGAGGAAAAATACAGACTTGTGTGTCGGCTTGAAGCCTAAAATAATTTCTGCTGACCATATTTTCCAAACGAATCTTTTTGACTCCACATATACTTTCTTTCTTTCGGTTATATAGAACAAGGATGTCGTTTGTTTTGCGTCTATAAACCTTCCTCTCGCTCTTTTTGATTGACATGGGATGATGAAGGATGAACATCCCTATACAACATGCGTGTATAGCTTTCGTTTTTCCCTCTCTTTTACTATTAGCAATCTTTTTCAAAAAAAAAATTAACCGTCTTCTATTTTTATGGTGGTATTAGTTTTAAAAAATGTAGGCTTTTATTATTATCATTCAAGTTATCCAATTTTGTTTAAAGGTTAAGAATTTAGGACAAATTTGAACAATTTGAAATAGGAATTATGAATAATTAATTAATTAAAATTATAATAATAAAATTTTATTATTATTATTACAAAATTAATAATCAATTAAGCTCGTTTGATTATTCTGTTATTTGTTAAAAATTAATTTTTCAATATCAAAATTTATATAGTATTAGGCCGGAGGAAATGTTCACACGTTAAACATACATATATGGAATAAAAAGAGAACATCATCGTTGCATGTGAACAATGTAGAATTGGATAAAACCATGTAAATCTTCGTATTTCTATAGTCTCTATTGTGAGTGTGGTTCTGATGTCATTTTTGTGGGGAACCCCCGTTGTGATGTCTTTTTCTGCATGACGAAGGGTATACCAATCAGGATAAGGACAGTGTCGACACCATAATATGACGGATATAGTTATGTATGACATTCCTTAAAAAAACGCCTTCCTTCTTTTCTTTATGTAATACTTAACTTTTTGACTTTTTGACATTTGGCCTTGTGCTAAAACGTATATATATATAGAGTCAAAGGCCCTCTGACAATTTCTTTTTTTGGGTGCAAACCCCTAACGAAAAGATCCGCGTTTATTTCCCTACATTATATTATTATTATTATTAGAATTATTATTATTTTTAGTATTAACAATTAACAATTATTGTTGGCTATAGTACAGCTTATAATTAGATTTCATAGTTAATTTAGTTTGCTGTGTCATCTAATTAATATTATAGCTAATGTAAAAATTAGCTATCCGTATAATAGAGAAAACTGATTTTTCTCCGTGTTCTAATTTGCTTTTCGACTTCAGAACGGATAGGAATGGATAAGCAGATCTATTTTTTTTATGGTGATTGCAAATTGTTAATTTGATATGATACAAAGAGATCAGGTGACAATTATTGAACATACGTGGGAAGACATCATCAGGGATGACATTATAGCTATTATGTATAGAAATAATTAATGTAGGCGACATTATAATGGTTCTCGGTTTAGTTCGTGTATATGTATACGCAGTGAAAGGGACCTTTAGCTACAAACAAATTTTAGGTTATGTTTATTGATAGTTTTAGCTTAATGAAACGTTTATTTTTAATTATAAAATCAAAATCAGGTATTATTGAATATTTTGGATGCAATATAAAAAATGGTTGTATTAGGAATTAATCATTTTTTTGTAGTATCATTCTAAAAATCAGAAACATAACCTAAAATTTGCTTGTAGCTATAAGGTCCCTTTCACTGTGGAGCGTCACTGATGTAATAGAAAAAAAGAGCAGTCTGAAAATATAAAATGCGTTCTTCGGTTGTTTGCTGGGGCTCAAAATTTTTTTGGCTGCAAGAGGCGCCAGGTAATGTGTGTGTGTGCGTGGAAATATTTGTCCCAAAGACCCCATATGGCGTTACTGAATATACTTCCTAATTGCGCGCACCATGGAGTACCATTCATATTTTCTCGCGTGTACAATCAAAAGAATAACCGCTACTGGAATTCAACTATTTTTTATAATTTTACCACACAGTGTATATTGTAGACTTTCCTTATTTTCTAAGGTAAATAATATATATAACGTTCAAAAAAAGAAAAAAAAAACAATTAATTGCTGCAAATTGTAAAAATTTGATGATTATAGATTGTGAAATAAATATGAAGATTTATTTTAATTATACTTTATTTATACTTTTTGCAATATATAATTGTTATTTTTCATTATTTACCGAAGTTTAGTTTATATTTTTAAGATAACCAAGATGTAAACCAATTGCGTGGTTCCATTTCTTTAATTTCTGTAAGATCGTTGATAGGTTTTTTAACATTATTCGAATCGTCGGTGACAATTTTATTTGCAACGACTGATAAATGATTATTAATTTTTTCCGATGTTTTCGATTTGTTTCGTTGCTTATTTAGAAAAGAGGTGAAAATTGTTTTACAAGGCGTGTCAATTATTCGACATTTTGCATCTTGAGAAGGTTTTTCTATTTTTTCATTTTTACATTGAGAGGATTTTTTTGTTTTACTATTATTATTACCTTTTTTACACTTTTTAACAGCCTCAAATTCTTTTCGCATAATTTCTTCAATCATTTCATTATCATTTTTTGCAAATAAAAAAACTGCATTTTTCTTTTGTAATGATTTTTCAATATCGGTTATTGATTTCTTGTTGAAGCACTTGTCATTCGCGGGCTAAATTTATATATTGAAATTTTGATGAAAAAAAAAAAAATATCCCTAGAGAGAATTCTTGGGAATTAATTTTTTTTTTTTCATACTTTTATGGAGGCTGCAAGTTCACATTTAGTGTCATCTTTGCAAGCTGGACCCGGTTTGAGAAATCTTTTATTGAATCTTTCCTCAACTATTTCCTCCTTCTGACATTTATTTTCACATCTATCGGTTGTAAATGATCTGAAAATGCAAATTTTTGTTTATTATTTTTTAATTTGCATTCAGGGAAGAATTGTTTTTCGTTTTGATAAAACAAATTTTATTTTATTTAGGTTTTAGAAAAAAATTAATGGATATTTGAAAAAATGCACTAAAAATAAAATTTATATTTGATTTAAATAATCGGTTATACTTTTGACTATTATTATCAAATAAATATTTTTTTTCAAATAATTATTTCTTTGATTCAAATAAAAAATTTCTTAAAATCAAAGAAATATTTTTCTAAATCAAAGAAATTTTTTTTTTACCCTAATATATAACAAAATGCACGAATTTCTTGATTCAAAGAAACGTTCCTTGAAACAAGGAATTTTTTTTCTGAGTGTTTGAATCAAATAAATTTTTTTTTTTTGTTAGTTTTGAAAACGAATTGAAATTCTTTGATAATTTTAATTAAATTTTATATATATATACCTTGAAGCGAAAGGACGTACAGAATCAATACTGGTGTAGGTGGAAAAATCTCGATTTTTCTTTTTATTTGGAGGACAACCAACGCAGAATGCCTTTGGTTTTTCGCATGGATCTGGCTCAAAACATTTTGGAGGACAGGGTTTTATTGGTGGACATGGTTTTTTCTTTTTCTTTTCGGGGCATTTTGATTTGTAGCATGAGCCTTTATCCAATACTGGACACCAGCCTTCGCATTTCTTTTGTGATATTGACTCTTCCATTTCGGGACATGCTTCAATACATGGAGGTTCAGGTGGTGGTTGACATTCGTTATTAGATGATTTTCTGCTTTTTGATTTTTTCTTTTTTGGTGGTGATGGCGGTTCTGGACAACATGGTGGAGGTGGAGGTGGACAACAAGGAGGTGGTGGTGGAGGTGGTGGACATGGCGGTGAACATTCTTGCGATTCGTTTCTATTAGTTTTCGAATTTTTCCGATTACGATTATTTCGCTTTCCACTGCCTGACGACATGTTCGCTATTTGTATCGATGGTTTTGATAGTCCAGGCTTAGACATACCTGCGTCATATTCATTCAATTTTTGCGTTAATTTAGAAATTTTATAATTTAGTAATTAATAATTTATTAATAATTTATTAATAATTTATTAATAATCAATTAATTATTATTATTAAAAAATTAATAACAATTGAATAATAATTAAATAAATATTAATTAATAATAATTAATTAAATTCAATTATTAGTAAATAATCAAAATATAATTATTATAAATAATTAAAGTTAAAATATGAAAAAAAAAATTAAATTATTTTTTTTTTTGATTAATTTTAAATGCGATTTTGAGTTTTACGCACTTAGGCCAATATCACGTCGTGATTTTGCAATTCCGGAAGAATATCTGGAAACAATTGGATTGGAAAATGATTTCGATCTTTTTAGTCGAGTGGCTTCCATTGGCAATGCAAAAGTAGAACTTGTTTTTTCTTTTTGTCTGTTTAGGGAAATTCTAGGTAGACTTTTCGAAGGTGTTAACTTATAGATTGATTTGAAAATTGGTCCATTATCAGAAACCTCAGCATCTCCTTTTAATTGATTTTCTGTTTCATTTTTAATATACAAAAATGTTTTTTTTATGAATCAGGTATAGAAATTACTTTGGAAATAAATAAATTAATTCGAAATAATTAAATCGTTAATTGGAATAAATAATATTAAAGTATTTACATTGAAATAGTTTTATAAACAGAAATAATTTTGTCAATTGAAAAAATTTAATAATTTTTATTTAAATACCTAATTCTGTAAGAGTTTTGGTTTTTAAATTCTTGAGTTTTATATTGGCAAGCGAGGAATCTTTGTCAGTTTGATTTTTGCTAAATGCCGATTGGAACATTTGTGTCCGAGTAGGAAATGCCAATAACGTTTCGGGAAGATTGACACTATCCTCATAAGTTTCGTTTTCTTTTGTCCTATTTAAATATTGTCCATCCCTTTTCGAAAACTCCAGGAAACTCCAAAATCTCCACGTTGGTGTGGTATTATGAAAACAGGCAATGGTTTCATTCTAAGAGTAAAGAAAAATAAATAAATAGATTAATTTTCTTTATTTTAATTATAAATATAATTTTAAGTATATTTAAATTAGAGTTTAGAAATAAATTCTAGTATAAATATATTTTCGTCTATAGTTGTCATTTTTTTTTCACTTTGGATGACAGTTAAAAATTTATTTATTTATTTTTTTTTAAATATTATTTTAATAAATTTTTAATTCTCTTAATGTTTTGAAATTTTATTGTAATAATTTAGAATATTAAGATTTTTATAATAATACCTGGAATTGTTTCTTCGGTATCAATTGTGTTAGATCTTGAAAAATGAAAGCTTTAAATCTGTTTAATTTTGCCATTTTTTGTTTTTCGAATTATAAAATGATAGTTGCACGAGAAATTTTGAAAAAAACTAGAGATTCCTTTAGTTAAACCATAAAAATGTTTATGAAGTTTTTTTTTTTTGTTTATTAAAAGAAATATAAAATTTTGCTAACGACACGACATTCTGAGAAGAAATTAAAAAACGTTTGCACAATAAACAGTTGAGAATCGTTGTTGCTTAGAAACAAGAAACAATGAATGATCTTTATGAATTTTTTAACTTATAAAAAAATTATTATTAAATGAAATTAATTAATATTAAGTTAAAAAATGATAAATTACAATTAATTTACATAATTACAGGAAAGGGATTAATTTTTTTGAATATATATAAATATATACTGAATAAATAAAAAAATAAAATAAATATTAATAAGAAATGAAATATATTGTTGGTACTATTTTTTCTTAATTATAGTAGAAACGGAAATCTATATTATATTTTATGATACGAATGTAATAATCTTTGTCTGAGCATGCTCCGTTGTTTCTGAATACTGATCGATTCATCCATGGAAACCGAGATAAAGAACGTGATATTTTGGAAACTAAAAATTAAATATTAATATTTTTATTGCAAAAGTAGTTACGAATTATTTTTTTCATTTCTTATTATGTTATTGCTAAGATAATAATAATAATAATTATTATAATAATTATTATTAATATTATTATTAATTATTTAAATTATATATTTAATGATAATAATATTTTTATTATTATTAGTTGGAATTTCTAATCTGAAAGATATTATTATTCATTGTCAGGGTTTTCGTTTGTTATCTTGTTTATTGAGATGTGTTTTAGTTCCAGAGAATTGAGCTTGCGATTTTGAAATGTATGTCATAGAATTTCGCAGTGTAATTTTATTTGTTGGATACACGTGGTGATATGCAACCAACAAATAGGAGACGATTCTAACGATGCCGTTTGTTCGTCGCGATTCGAAACCAATAGGCGTTGCTTTGTGGAAATCAGATATGTTTGTATATACACTAGGAAAATCTATACTCACACACGGTGTTTCTATTATAGACAAGCTTCTGTGCTTGCATAAAGGACAGAAAAATTTTATATAAAAAAAAAAAATTTATTTTATTTTTTTAATAACAATTTATACGCCTCATCTCGAGACAATTTATTTTTAACTTTAATTTTTAAAATATATTATATCAAAATTTATTAAAAATTTAGACAATTTTTCTTTATTTATTATTAGGGAAAAATCAAATGTCAATTCAACTTATTTAAGTTGATCATATATAGCAAATAAACTTATTATAGTGTATATATAATTTAGTTTGGAAATTAGATCAGTTTCATCAAAATTGAAATATTTAACAATTCGTATTTTCTAAATATGGCCATAGAGGGGACAAAATTACATCTATTTTCAATTGTTTTTGAGAAAAATTTTCGAAAATTCTTATTGATTTATATAATTTGGGGTGAAGGAAATTTTTATTCTAAGTCTTATTATAGGCTTCATCTTGAGTAACAAAAGATTTTTACGGTAAATTAAACACGTGTGTGTTTTGTTTAAAATAACGCTGCGAGGCACGCGGTCTGATGAGACATAAAAAAAAATCCCTCCCCCTCCTTTCTCTTCAGACGAAACAGCACCGTGTCGATTTTATCATTCTCTCAAATCTCGGAATTCGAATTTCAATTTATCTCGAAATTCCATCGTAATTGTTTATCTTTAAGATTTTGTAAAAAAAATGTATGTACTCATATATGCGATTTAGATAATAGAAAATCTAATTTTTTATATTGTTTTTTATAAATTAGAATTTTTTTTGTACATTAAATCAAATAGTAAAAATTAGTGAACGAATTATCATACTGAAAAAAAATTTATTTGATTCAAATAATATCGGTTACTTGACTATTATATCAAATAAATATTTATTTGTATCAAATAATTAATATTTAATTAAATGGTAATTATTTCGATAAAATTGTATTTGTTTCAAATACAAAAATTATTGGTTCAAATACAGTTTATTTAATTCGAATAAAAATTATTTAGTTCAAGTAAATATGTATTTAATAATAGACAAGTAACCGACTATTTGTAACAAATAAAATTTTTTTTCAGTGCACTAATTTAAATTTAGAAATTAAATAATATAAAGATAAATAAGTAATGTATACGATTATAGCTAAAGAGAAAAAAAAATTTGTGTATGATTTTGAAGCGCATAATCAATTTGAGGTGGAATTTCGAGAAGCGCGCATCATGCAATTCTCAGTAGCGGTTAAGCAAAAGCAACGAGGGTGGTAAACCATATGTCTGTGATGATAGAAGACGTGGTTGTAGTAAAGGTGGTTCTAAACGTAAATATGAGATTGTATTAAACATACATATACATATATATATGTAAGGTACACCTATAAGGGAGGCAACGAAAAGGGAACTGGCATAGACGGCAAAGAAATACATAATGAGTCGTGCCAAGAGACTCTGCGACTCGTTTAATCAAAGTTTGGGATGCGTGCTCCCAGAACTAACTACGTCCAATCATGCTAACCCACCTTGTTTCAATTCACCTTTTGTCTCTCACTATCTACAAAATTTTAAATTCTTATTTCACGTTTTACATCACTTTTTTTTCGCAAATACATTTTTTTTATGCTTATCATATATGCTCTATAAGTACTTTTTTTTAGAAATATTTTATAGGCGCCGTAAAAACTTATATATATATATATATATAATCACTAGTTTTCGAAAAACAGTAAACCAAATAATAAGTTTTTAAATAAAAATAATTGTCAAAATTTTGACAATTGTTTTTTTTTATTAAAAAACTTTCGTACGAGTGATGATTTGGACAATTATAAGTTTTTATAGCGCTTTAATAATTATTTTAAACAAGTTCAAAGGAGTGCATATAATGGGTAAAAAAAAGAAAGGTATAAGGTTTAACGTGTCGATGGTTCCTTTTACGTAAGGGACCCACAGATGCGGGCGCTGCACTGTTGGCGGTGCAGTGACTTAGAAGGACGTCTAATCTGGACAAATTAGTGGGGTCTACCTGTGTTCATGCTTAAAAATGTGGGTGTGTGTCGACCAATAACTAACTCGACTAACACACATATATACGCAGTATTAACTAGAAGTTGGCGAGTTGTGCGCACACGTGACACGCACGGATTTTTTATTTTTTTTGTTTTTTTGATGCGCGTGTGGGTGTCACAGGGTGGCCACCTGTCTAGCAAGGTATGCGACGATAGCATCAACCAAAGAAAGAGAGAGGAACGACGAACGCCCCGCGTTAAGCAAAGACAAGGGCGGTAACTCACCCTGCTGGACAAATTATAGAGTGGCCCAGACAGCGCGATTCTCTTTCTCACTTGCTGATTTTTTTATACAATATCCTCCTCTCTTTTGCAATGGATTTCTTCTCTTAAAGCTTCTATATTGCATCTCTTTTTAAAATCTTTCGATCTTACACACCTCGAAAATCCGCGCGCATCCTTTCCATAAAGTCTAATATATTAAATGCTCATGATACACGTGTAAACATGACATAGTCCTGAGGGATGAAGGTAGAAATTATTCTCGACTTTTACGATATGGTTTATGAAAGTGTTATCGATATTCGTTGGATTTTCATATTCTTTATATATATATATATATATACAAGAATTTAAGTTCCGATAGTATTTATATATGCTTGCAATTCTGATATAAATTACACCCAAAGGACAACAAAATTTTAGTCTAGATGGTTAAAATCATGATTCAAAAAGTAATAAGATAGTAAAAATTTTGAAAAATAGAAATATAAAAAAATTACCGACCTAGAAATCTACCTTACCGACTGATGGTAAAACAGGTTTTTTGACAAATGTAAATATTACCGACATAGAAATCTACCTTACCGACTGATGGTAAAACAGGTTTTTTGACAAATGTAAATATTACCGACATAGAAATCTACCTTACCGACTGATGGTAACACAGGTTTTTGACAAATGAAAATATAAAAAATTACCAACATAGAATTTTACCTTACCGACTGATGGTAAAATTTTTTGAGGAACTTCTAAGAATTTTTTACCATCAGTCGGTAAGGTAAAATTCTATGTCGGTAATTTTTTATATTTTTATTCTTCAAAAAACTGTTTTACCATCAGTCGGTAGGGTAGAATTCTATGTCGGTAATTTTTATATTTTAAAAAAAACTGCTTTACTATCAGTCGGCAAGGTAAATTTCTATGTTGGTAATTTTGTATATTTTCATTTTTCAAAAAAAAACTGTTTTACCATCAGTCGGTAAGGTAGATTTCTATGTCGGCTATATTGGCTTATTTTTTGTTACTGAGGGAGCGTTGGACCAATACTGATTGCAGTGTACTAGTATTTTAGCATAGATTGCTTCACTTCTAAATCAGTATTTCTCGATTTCTGGGCCAGTTAAAACATAATCTGTTAAAACAAACTATTTAGCACAAAGCTGTTTTATTAATGGCAAATTATTATAGAACCAATATAAAGGCACTAAAGTAAACATCATGATCTAATCAGGATTAATTTAAAGTAAAATTGGAATTTTCTAGTTTGACAAGGCAGAACACGATTTTGTAATGAAGATGTGTTGTTTCACAGTATATATGTATACCATATGAAGGAAGTAGTGCGCGACTTGTTCGCTTTCTTTCCGCCTTTCGTTGCTTCTGAAAAAAGATAATTCAAAAAGAGCTGAACACAGAGCTATATAGTGACGAAGAAACAAGTCTAGATGCAAGAAAAATTAAGGAGAGAGAGATAGAGAAGAGACGAAGGTAACAGACAGATGGACGGGCGGACGAGGACGATGGTGGCACACTCGCGAAGGCAAGGAGGAAGATGAGGTCGAGGGTAACCTGACACCTGGCCGCACCGAAGGTAACGTGAGAGCCCGTCACCTCCTCCTTCTTCTCTTCGCCTCCCCCATTTTACCTCGTCGTTTCTGCTCCCGATCTCCTCATCCTCTTCTATATTGCATATATAAATGCATCAACGAACTAACAACAGAAGAAGATCGTTCAAGAAAAAACTATTCTTGAAATGAAGAAAAAAAGGATAGAATATAATTAGTTGTGTAATCCGTTGCATATGTATTATTTTTTAAGGAGTAGTGTGACATTTTTAAACAAGC